AATTATTTAATTTAAAAAAATAAATATTTAGGTAAGTAGACTCAGGCACGAAGTAAACTAATAACTAAAAAACACGCGTACACTGTAGATTGGAGGGAAATAACAAAATAGTGGCGCCACCGTCACGGTTACTATGGTAACATAGAACTTAATTTTAGTCCTGTTAAAAAACTTGCTATTCTTAGATTTAAAATACCAGTTTTCTTAAATCTAAAATATTTAATTTGACTTTTACTGGGTACAAGAAAACTCGACTAAAAAATATTCAGTATTCCGGGTATAAAAAAACTTTTTTTTCAGTGTACTTTAATCATTTTTTTTTTAAGGAGATCCACGCAAAGTAGTGAGATTTTTAAAACTTTCTGAAAATTTGTAATTTCAATCTACGTAGCCTAATAATTAGTAAAAAAATTAAAAAACAGTGGGTTTCCGGGATACTTAATCAAATAATTAGGTTTGAAAATTGTTATTTTTACATGTGAATGGAGATTCCACCAGCCGGTATTTGGTTAAGAATTTAATGCAATTAACGATTTAAAAAAAAATTTTATTTTCATTGAATTTGATTGAAAAAATAATAATCTTTCGATTAAAACAATAAAAAAATAGCTTTCCGAACGTATTACGGAGATATTTTATATTTTTTATGAAAAATCACTCGGAACTTGCGTTCTTTAAAGTCTTGTATGTGACTTGGCAACACCGTTTACGCAGTTACTCAAAGCATAAGTAACCGCGGTTTTTTAGATGCTAGAAGATCTTAGTCATTTTAGTTAGACAGTAAACATAAATAAATTTGAAGGTTAGGGGACTCTTGCGGTGTTGTCAAGTGTATATCGGTAATTCAGAGTGCTATATTTTTTAATAGTCAATTGAATGTTAATAATTATTCAATGAGTAAATTTATCGGAAATTTCCTCAAAAATGTTATGAATTAATTTAAAAATTAATTTTAAGATGTACAACAAAAGTATTTCTACATATTATTTTTTTATAGACATTCTGTACACTAGGAGGTGACTTAGATCTCCTTAAGGATGTTCCGAGTAAGAACCGTTTTCTCAAAATTTTTTTGTAATTTTAAGTACTTATACTCATAAGTATCCTCTATAGGAATTTTTTTAAATAGTCCTTGCGGCACTAAATTTTTAAATATTATCCATCAGTAATTTGGTAGAGAAATAATTTTTTTTTCTTCGTATTAAAAATAAAATTTAAACTTGTAAGGAAAAATAATTAAAGTAAAATTTATTCCTTCGATTTTTCTTCTATTAATCTATTAAAATATTTTTCATATTAATTTGTGCAATCAAAGATATATGCAAATATCAATGTTCAGTTATGATTATTTTATTCATATACATATAATATGTATAAACATAAATAAACGTATAAGAAAATGGAATTGCGGTTAAGATAAAGTGTAGTACAACAACCAGCGAATAAAATCTTTTGATGTGATGCAATACTGAGAAAAATAATTCCAACGTGAGAGTAAATTGAAATCAATTTTGAATATTATTATTTTTGTTTTTTTTTTAAATTTAATCTACTCTGAAATAAATTTATTTACACGGTAAAACGGGTTGAGAGTATATGAAAATGATAAAACATTGAAGAAATATTAGGAATTGGTATGTTTACATATTAATCAAGGTAAGGTGAGTGAGAGCTTCTGAAGAAGCCAAAAAAATTATTTTATTGTAAATATCTGCGGTGATAAAGTAAGTTAAATAAATAAAAGTAAGATCTGAAAATTAATTGGTTGCTAGGCAAATCTTCTGATGTAGGCTGTCTCCATGATGAATGCTATTAGATACCGAGAAACGATATTATATATTAAACAGAAACGCGGCAGAGAAATCAAATAGTGGACATTTTATTTTTGTCTCTTTACTACTGAAGATTTCTTTAAACAAAAAGAAAAAATCCTTGGCTCTAGAAAATAATTAGTGAGTAATAATAATGGAATAATAGTAATAATAATGGGCGGTTTCATGTTAATTTAAAATATAACTTTTTAAAAATTATTATTAAGAGAATAAGAATAATTTTGTATCCAGAATAGACAGACGATAAGTAACATTATTACGAAATTACCTTGTATCTTGTGAACTATTGACATTTTTAAAGATATAAACTCATCCCGATGTTACATTCATCCATACCTTTCATTTGAGTACCTACATCAATTTTTCATATATTTATATATATTATATATATGTATATATGAAAAATATATAAAAATGCATGTGGGTACTCAAATGAAAGCTCTCGATGAGTGTAACATCGGGATGAGCTTATATCTTTAAAAATGTCAATAGTAAAAAAAGTACCGTGCAATTTATCGTAATTAAGAAACGACCTTGTATCTTGTGAACTATCGACATTTTTAAAGATATAAGCTCATCCCGATGTTACATTCGTCAATACCTTTCATTTGAGTACCTACATCAATTTTTCATATATTTATATATATATTATATATATATATATGAATATATATAAATATATGAAAAATTGATGTGGGTAATCAAATGAAAGCTCTTGATGAGTGTAACATCAGGATGAGCTTATATTTTTAAGAATGTCAATATTTAAGAAAGTACAGTGCAATTTAACAAAAGTCATTATTTAATTAAGCAAAATTTTATTTATTTATAGTTCACAATTCTTGGCAGTCACGTAGTGACTGCAGATTGCTAATAATAATTATTACTTTTTTTTATTATGAATTGCATATTTATTAATTTCGTGATTATAGCTGTCTTCTATTGCCATAAAAAAAAGTAATAATCATCAATAAAATATATAATAATAAATATACTCGTTCCAATAAACTACCCGATAAAATCTATCTTATCCACCGCATTGTACATGTCGTTTTTAAAAAAATCAAAAGATTTAATATTATCACCAGTATGCAATTTGCTCATTAATAATTTAATGCTTACTGTCATTTAACTTGTAAAAAAAGAGCAATAACTAGTCTACTAGATCTCAGGGTATGTCTTAAATCATGAATGAATCAATATTAACGATTAACAAGGCGCAATTTTCTTAAAGAAAAAGGACGTTCAGCTGAGCCTGGAAAATAAGACTGACGTGGGCATATGTAGAGTTGAATTAATAGACTCGTTTCAGGGTTGTCAGCAGCAGGACGAGTAGACAGCTAAAGTAGACTGGCAAATACTTGAATCTTTTTAGCCTCAAGGATATTTAAATAATTATAGAGTTAGGTAAGCTGCTTTTAACTATTTGCATTTTTGGCATCACTATCTAACAAAATTATTTTTAATATCTTTATTATTATTATTAATGAGGATAATCGTAAATATTAAATAATTGCCCGACACAAAAATACGCAATATGTTTGTCGTTAATTTACTCGTTTTTGATGCATTAATAATGTAATAAAAGTAAGAAAAATATATATATATAGTAGCGAGTTGACGACAATTTGAATCAACAATTTTAAATTTATTCATGAGAATCGTTAAATCGTTCAATATTTATAATAATAAATGCTTGGTTCTTGTATCAATTAGCGTTCTGTGCATCAAAGACAATTATTATTTAATCGCATAAAATTATAACATGATTTATGAATGAATTTTTTTTGTATATTTATAAAAAAATTCATTAATATTTTTTATAAATAATCAATGTTATTAAGAGAATAAGAAAAATTTTATTACCAGTGTATTTATATGCTATAATGGGGGTTTATGGTTAAATTTGGTATCATTGGAAAAATCTTGACCTGAGGTTGTGTCTTTTCAAAGTTTCATATCATTCTCACCAATAGTCAATTTATGATGATAAGTATTAAGGCTGCATTCGAAAATGCTCTATCTTTAGATACAAAATTAAGAAATGACCTTGTATCTTGTGAACTATTGACATTTTTAAAGATATAAGCTCATCCCGATGTTATACTCATCAAGATCTTTCATTTGAGTACCCACATCAATTTTCATATATTTATATATATTATATATATGTATATATATAAAATATATGAAAATGTATGTGGGTACTCAAATGAAAGCTCTTGACGTGAATAACATCGGGATGAGCTTATATATTTAAAAATGTCAACATTTAAGAAAGTACAGTGTATAATTTAACATAATTAAGAAACGACCTTGTATCTTGAGAACTATTGCCATTTTTTAAGATATAAGCTCATCCCGATGTTATACTCATCAAGTCCTTTCATTTGAGTACCCACATCAATTTTTTATATATTTATATATATTATATATATGTAAATATGAAAAATATATTAAAATGCATGTGGATACTCAAATGAAAGCTCTTGATGAGTGTATATCATCGGGATGAGCTTATATCTTTAAAAACGTCAATAGTTTAAAAAGTACAGTGCAATTTAACAAAAGTCATTATTTAATAAATCAAAATTTTATTTATTTATATTTCACAAGTCACGACAGTCACATGGTGACTGCAAGGTTGCTAGTTTATTAATACTTATTAATTTCAAAAATTATATTGTAAATTGTGAATTAAAAAAAAAAAACCAAATTTCTTTTTTCTTATTTATTATTTTTACAAATTTTTCAGTTTATATTTTTACAAACAATTGAAAATAAATTTTATTAAATAAAAAATTTCCAATACAATTTTCTGATTTTTCTGCCACATTATTAAAAAATTTTTGTTGTATTTTTTAAAAATTAAGAAAAAATGTTGAACCATAAATAGTTTACAATAACTCAAAAATTAATCACAGACTTATTTTATATAATTTAAATGCAATAGATAAAACACTTGATCTCATTTCAATTGAAAATATACAATTAAAAAAAATATTTAATAAATACATTTCAATAATAAATAACATAAAAAATATAATAATAATTATTTGAAAAGTAATAAAATATAAAAATATAATCAACTCACACTATTTATCGAGCAAGTGTAAATAAATAATTTACAACATAATTACAAATATAAATATGGCGACAAAATAAATATCAGCGTATGCAATTTAAATCAAAAATACTTCTCTGACCAGCAGGGCGTATTTTATTTTTATCAGTATCCTCCCACTCAGAACTGGAGTCGTCGAAGAAATTATACAAGTAAAGACGATCGCCAGTCTGGATACCTGTTGATGAAAAAAGTAAATGTGAGTATAAATATAATCGAGGTTAAATAAAGTCGATTATAATTAGTAATAATGATGGGGCTTGGACCTAACTAGACTTACCAAGTCTGGTGTGGTGAGGATTCCAAACGACGTTTGCAATACGGTGGTTGAATGATAATGAATCAGTATTTTTTTGAATAATTATTCCATCGACAATTCGGTTCCAACTGGCTAAAACGGGAATAGTCGTTGAACGAGTGGTACCCTCCCAGTAGTACCACACGACAACCAGTTCTCCGCTGAGCTTGTTCCACGCCAAATGTTTCACGCGACTTAAGAAGTTAACTCGTCTATAATCCAGGGACTTTTGCTTCGGGATGTCCCAGAGGGATAGTGAGCCATCGCCGATTCCACCGCCTATGCAGAGAACTCCTTTTTCCCATGGATGCCAAGCCAAGGCCTGTATATGTCAAATCAGTCAGAACTCTTGTTAATATTTTGTTTGATGATGATATTAATGAAATTAATAAATGATATTAATGAAATTAGCGAAATGGAAATTTCACCAAATATAAATACAGTCGTTGACAAAATAGCGAAAAACAAAAATTTTTGGCTAAGTGAATTTAGCCAATTCTTACTGCAGCAACTGATAAAATTAGCCGATTGTAAATTTTGTTAATTGTAAAATTAGACGTTTTTAAATTCCTCGTAATTCTTGAACAAATCGACGGATCAAAAAAACGATTTGAAGCATCTAAAAAGGCTTCCATTAATTTAGTTTTTCTAAAAATTAGAGCAAATTCAACCGACCCATTAAAAAGTTATAAGAAGTTTAAAAATGGCTAATTTAACGATTCGTATAAAGTTTACAATTGCCGAATTTTATAAGTTTCTGCAGTAAGAATTGGATAAATTCGCGTAGCTACAGATTTTTATTTTGCGCTGGTTTATAAATGACTGAATTAATATTTGGTGAAATTTTCATTTCACTAATTTCATTAATATCATTTTTTATTTGCGACTAATTTTACAACTGACATTATCAACTAATTTTTAAATTTATAATTTATAAATGGTCGAGTTTACAAATGGCTATTTTCCAGTAAACTTAAAAACATACTTAAATTAATGAACACGATTGTATGATCAGTGATCACATATCGACGGTCTAATTAGCAATTGGTCTAACTACTTATTTTTTAGAAGGTGGTTTTTTAACATTTTGATTTAGCAATAGTCTAATTATAAATTGTTTGAATGATCCAAACAAAAATATTATACCTCTATTAGTTATTAAATTGTTTTTCAAAGTGATAATTAATTTTGAACTAATTGTTTTTTCGCACAAATAGACGATTTTTTAAAATGGAATTAGACAATTTGCCAATTAAAACGTCGAAATATATGCTTGAAACGAGACGGAAGAACAAATTTGCTCAAAATTATAGAAACATCTGGTAAATTTACAGTTTTTTTGGTTAAAATAAAATGTAAATTTTACTATGCGAAAAATGAAAATTTAGTATTAGGAAAAATCTTAATATTGCATGGAAAAAGAATGTAAATTTTATATTGCAAAACATGTAAATTTTACAATGCAAAAAATATAAATTCAGTTCATGGAAAAAAAGAAAAATTTACCCGGTAAAAAAGTGTAGTGTACATTATAAAAATTGTAAATTTAGTAGCTGGAAAAGTCTTAAATTTACATGGCAAAAAAATGTAAATTTTATATTGCAAAACATGTAAATTTTACAATGCAAAAAATTGTGAATTCAGTAAATGGAAAAAGATAAATTTACATGGTAAAAGAATTTAAAGTTTACATTATAAAAATTATAAATTTACATGGTGAAGAATGTAATGTTTACATCATAAAAATTGTAAATTTAATACGTTGAAAAAATATTAAACTTACAGAAAAAATGTAAATTTTACAGTGCAAAAAATGTAAATTTAGTAGCTGGAAAAATCTTTTATTTACATGGCAAAAAATGTAAATTTTTTATTACATCATATGTAAATTTTACAATATGAAAAATGTAAATTCAGTATATGAAAAAAAGATAAATTGACATGGTAAAAGAATGTAAAGTTTACATAATAAAAAATGTAAATATAATGTATTGATGAAATGGTAAATTTACAATAAAATAAATGTAAATTTTACCGTGCAAAAAATGCAAATTTAGTATCTGGAAATATATTAAACTTACGTAGTCAAATAATGTAAATTGCAGAAAATGTAAACTCTACATTATTTAACTATGTAAATTTTACGTATTCACACCTAAAAATTTGACAATAATTTTTTTTTTCAATTTAGCAAAAAATGACGGCGTAATTTACACATAATTATTTCTGTAATTATGAAATCTATAATTTTTTCCCGTAAAATTACAAAAAAAAAATAACTATGTACCTCTGATGGATCGTAATATCCTATTTCGAGAAATGGAACAATTCCTTTAAGCTGATAAATACTAATATTCTTATCTGCGCCGGTTGTTGCAATGTATTGATCATCTGGTGATATCACCATGTCCAACACTGATCCTTCGTGAACTATTACGGACTCCTCCTTCGCAATATATGATCCATTTATAGTGAATATAGAAAGTTTTCCATTGTTGCATCCTCTATACAGGAAAAAACTCCGAAATAATTAATAATTCCGAGAAAAAAAAACAAAAAATTTCACAAGATTTTTAACTTTAAATTATTTAAAAAATTTATATAATAAAATAAATAATACATACGTAAAAACTTGGCGATCTGTTTTACTCCAAGCAATACATCGAATAGAACATCTGGGACAGGAGCAGTTATGTTTCCAAATAATTTTCCCAGCTGTGATATCATAACAGCACAATTTCAGTGACTCTGAGTACATCACAAAACGGTCTCCCGCGTGATTCCATTTGACGCCTCGAATTTTCTGCGTCCCGATATTTTCAGCCTCGATATTTACTACTGCTGATACGCATTGGGTTTCCCATGAATCCTTGAAAACAAGTATTTCTTGTTCCACCGCGACCAGCATCATGTTTTTCGAGCTCCAATCAATCATTCCACGGCCTTAAATTAGTAAATAACAATTATAATACATTAATATAAAAATTTGATGCATTAATATAAGCATTTTTTGATAATATTTAATAAACATTATTTTATTTATTGAAAAAAAAATTTTTTTGTCAACATTTTAAGTTTTTTTTCAAAATTTGAATTTTTTTTATAATGACTAGGGTAAATGCACCAGTTGTTGACCGGTCACCAATTAGTTGACCGATGTATAAAAAAGTTAATTAATTAATATTTTACAAGGGTTTTTTTTTCTTAAAATATTATATTAAAATAAAAAAATATGGCATTTAATCATCATAATAAAAAATTACGCAATTAATTGCGCAGTGATTATAGCTTTAAAAAAATATTCTGAGTTTGTTTACAACGCAACCAGCCATAAAGCGGTCAAAAATAAATAGCGTACAATTGGAGAGTGAGTGCATTTCATCATTAATTTAGTGATATTTATCGGCATAATATAAAATATTTTAATTTTATTATGTTAACTAAAGATCAGATTCCAACTTTTTTGAATAAATAAAGTTATATTATAAGTTTTAATATTATTTTAAGACCGCGGTCAACTATTGGATCCGTCAGAAGCCCTTTACCCAGTAAAAAATTCATTCGGTCATTTATTAGACCCTCTGATTTTATCACAATCCAATTAATCACCGTAAAATAATACTTAAAATTTTTTTTGATTATTAAATTTTATTTTGTTGTAATTTTTTTAGTGAACGGTTATATCAAAGAACGAATCATTGGAAGAAAAAATTGCTAAGCAATTAAAAAAATCAAAAAGAGTTACAAGCTAGTAAAAAAGTTTTAATTGAAAAAAAGAAGGAGAAGTATAAAAAAATTTCAAGTTAATCAGAAGAATTATCGTCATTAAAATGAATTTGTGATTATTTGTGACCTAAAGAAATTTGACTTTATGTTAATTATTGCTATTGTTTATATTATTTTATAAAAAAGTACGGTTTAAAATTATATTGTATGTTTAGTTTTGTTAAAGATGTCGTTAATACTTTAAAAGTACTGCATATATTTAATTACATACATGTAGTTTACAAAATTACTTATAATTATTTGAGCGGTCAATTAATTGGAGAACGGTCGGTCATTTATTGGGTTTCTTCGGTCAATAATTGGTGATTTTAGTATTTCAACATTCAAATAACAAAATTAATATAATTTTGTTAATTTTTATTATAAATAGTTACTAATTATTATTAATTAAGTATTTAACTTCAATAAAATCCATTACAAATTGTTTTTAGTAGGTTAATAGATTTTTTTATAGCTTAGTACAGAAAAAGAAAACCTTAATCGGTCAATAATTGGTGCATTTACCCTATAAAAAAAATTGTTTTTTTTTTTAAATTAATTTTATTAGCAATAAATTTTTTTATCATTACATAAAAATTAATAAAAATAATTACTCGGAAAATGAATATATCCTGAAAGTTCAACAGCACTTTCCCAGCACTTAAGTAGCGGCTTGCATCGAGATTTGGCCTTCCAAACGTCATCAATCGATGATTTTTTGATGACACTTGATCGTTTATCAGGATCGAAACCTGGTTTGTAACAGGAAGGGGTTGAAAGTGGCCGTTGTTTGGAGTTAAAACTCAAAATTCGTTGATCTTTGAGCCCTTGAAAAGGCTCGATCTCATTCAAGCTCTCGGTCATCATTCGCTTCTTCCAATCAGTATGCAGTAATTTCATCTGAAAAGATATATATCTAAACTTTTAATAAGCTCAAGTCACATATATTTATTTATATACACGTAGATCGTGTCGGAATATGTTACACCAACGGGTTTTATTTAAAGATAAAAGAAATAGTTCTGTATAGTACAGATGCTCATGATCAGAATAAGAGACTCTGATGTTATTAAATAAAGAGGTTGGCTCATCTTGAAAGAGCGAGAAAGATAAGAGTAACGTGAATAAAAATGAAAAAGTGCGTGGGTAGGATTGAAGAGACCAAGCGAGTAAATTGCGTATCCGAAGAGCTTAACGATCGGTTTGGTTCTTGAACACGGCGTGCGCGGCTTTTGCCAACCAGAAGATCCTAACAATAAAAATAATAAAAAGATACTCTCTGTGTGCTCGAGAGCGATCAAGCCACGACCATGGTCAACGTGTTACGCGATTACGCTCGTAAATCCCGATCACCACCGACATTCTCTGCTTCTCATATCAATGGGTTGCTTTTGTGAGTCGATTGTAAAAAATAAACTGAGAACTTCATGAAAAAATTTAATTATCTAAAAAAAAAACAAAATTAGAAAGCAACTACTTACCCGTAAAAATTGTTTTTTTGTATGGCTAATTTTTATTTCTGGCGAAATTTGGCTATATATGACTTTATATGGTTATATGTGACCTAAAATTGCCATATATCATCTAATATAACTACCCCGCATGGAGAAATATATATGTCAAAAATATATGTCGCATATATAATATATATGCCGCATATATTTACGCAAAAAAAATATGTCAACATATATTTTTCACATAGATGCTGACATATATGTAGACATATATGTAGACATATATGGAGACATATATGTAAGCATACACTGAAAAAAAAATTTCCAAGTTTGTGAATTTTTTTACTTAAATCGAGAAAGTTAAATTTTTCAAAATTATTTCCTTGACTCAAATTAAATTCTTTTCTGTGTATCTCTAGACACTTATATGCGCACATATATGTGAACATATATGCGGACATATATTTAGCGCAAAAAAAATATATGTAAAAATATATATTTGCATATATTTTTCGCATATATATTTGTCCATGCGGGATAAGGAACCATTTCTGACCTAATATAGCCACATATGACTTGACATGGTTATGTATATGACCCAATATGGCTATACGCGATCATTTATGATATGATATAGCTTTATCTAGTCTGATATAGCCATAAATGACCTAGTATGACTATATGTGATCATATGTGACCTGACATGTCCAAATATGGCTTTATATGGCCATATACGGTCTAATATAATCATTAATCACTCATGATCTTATATTGCTATAAATTACCCTAATTTAGCTACACGGAAAAAAGTAAATTGTAATAAATAACAGTCGATTTATAATAAGTAATGATCAACTGCTAAAAATTACAATTTCAAACAGTAAAATCGTGATTTTACTATTCACGTTATAATATTTACCATTTAAACGTTACAATTTACTCTTTACATGGAAGAAAATACTATTTCAAACAGTAATATTCGCTATGTAAGTGTCTAAAGTGTTAAAGTATAATAATTAAGAATACAGACTTTGATATTTATCATTTCGTACTTAAAAAATGATGTTATGATATGTAAAAAGTATAAAATAAAGTTAGTAAATTTCTAATACAAGCAACGTCAATATTTACAAAGCAAAATGGTAAATTTTAAACGCAACGCTAAAAATCAAACTTTAATGATTGACTTGCTTGGACTGGTAAAATGTATATTTTAAATGTATAATTTTTACTGTTTGAAATGTTAAATTCTCCCCGAGTGAGACCCCCTTCTCTTTCATCTGAGTTCCCCTTCTCATAATATGGACTATATATTGAAATGGCAATTTTTACTGTTTGAAACTGTAATTTTTTAAGATGAAAGAGTCGGTATTTACTATAGCGATAGCTACTAATCACTTATTTTGGATATTAAATTATAAATTGTGGCTTTTATACTTTCCACATTAAGTTCGATAATATTTATATTTTTGCTACCCCGATGTCCCTTTTACTGCTTGAAACTATAAAAATTAATCGGAATCCGAGTGAATATTACAGTTTACTTTTTTCCGTGTATATATGACCTGATATGGCTATATTGACGTTCTAATTAGCGAATTGTCTAACTCCATTTTAGAAAATCTTCCATTTGTGGGAAAAAACAATTAGTTCAAAATTTATTATCACTTTAAAAAACAATTTAATATCTTATAGAAGTACAATATTTTGGTTTGGATCATTCAAATAATTTATAATTAGACTATTGCTAAATCAAAATGTTAAAAAATCACCTTCTAAAAAATAAGGAGTTAGACCAATTGCTAATTAGACCGTCGATATGTGATCACTGATCATACAATCGTGGTCATTAATTTAAGTATGTTTTTAAGTTTACTGGAAAATAGCCATTTGTAAATTCGACCGTTTATAAATTATAAATTTGAAAATTAGTTGATGATGTCATTTGTAAAATTAGTCGCAAATAAAAAATGATATTAATGAAATTAATGAAATGAAAATTTCACCAAATATAAATTAAGTCATTTATAAACCAGCGCAAAATAAAAATCTGTAGCTACGCGAATTTAGCCAATTCTTACTGCAGAAACTTATAAAATTCGCCAATTGTAAACTTTATACGAATCGTTAAATTAGCCATTTTTAAACTTCTTATAACTTTTTAATGGGTCGGTTGAATTTGCTCTAATTTTTAGAAAAACTAAATTAATGGAAGCCTTTTTAGATGCTTCAAATCGTTTTTTTGATCCGTCGATTTGTTCAAGAATTATGAGGAATTTAAAAATGGCTAATTTTACAATTAACAAAATTTACAATCGGCTAATTTTATCAGTTGCTGCAGTAAGAATTGGCTAAATTCACTTAACCAAAAATTTTTGTTTTTCGCTATTTTGTCAACGACTGTATTTATATTTGGTGAAATTTTCATTTCACTAATTTCATTAATATCATTTTTTATTTTCAGCTAATAATGTTATAAGTGACATTATCAACTAATTTCCAAATTTAAAGTTAATTAACGTTTTAGTTTACAAACGGCAATTTTCCAGTAATATTAAAAACATACTAAAATTAATGACCACGATTGTATATGATACTATATTTAATTTGAAATGTCTATATATAGTTAAATATGACCCAATATAGCCTCATATGATCTGATATGGCTAATGTTTCTATCAGAAAATTTTTGAATAAAAATTTAAGATTACCTGTCCGATGACATCCAGATATGGTTTATCATCCACTGAAATATATTTTTCACCAAGTTTGTGTTTGGCTATATCGACATTCAACTCACGGCGAGGAGGAATCATCCGATCATTGTAATTGCTAGTTGAAGTGTAAGCCTTTCCAAAAGCAAATCTCTGAAATGGAGTCGTGGAGACAGTTCTGTTGTGATATCTGGTTTCTGGCCCGTAAATTGGAATCGGCTGCTGAAATGTGGGAAACATTAAATTATGTAAGTGAATAATTATTTAACAGGAGATTTGTATGTGAAACTGAGTCTGCAAAAAATTAAGACCAAGTAAAAGGAGGGTTGAGAGAAGAGAGCATTATGCAGAATACGATCAAAGGGCACCGTAATATTTACCACGCCGTTCACCCTCTCCGACCCCCAACGAACATCTGCCTCCTTCTTGGGGTCTCATCGATATACTAATCTGTGTCTCAGGGTGCTCAATGAACGACATTTAGATTTTTGTTTTCGTGAGAGTTTATAGTCGCTGAATAAATTGTAATTCGAATAACCCGAACCGGGAATCGAACCCGGGTCTATTTTGGTTACGAAAATAAGGTGAACTAAAATTTAATTTTAAATTATAGAAATATTTTTAAAAATATCAATAATGATCATTTTTTAATTATTTTTGAAAAGTTTGGCTTTTATTGAATGTTTTAGAGTCAGATTAAAATTTTTACGCTATATTAATCAATAAGATTATAAAGCGTTTAATTAAAAATAAATTTAAAAAGTTTGGAACATCCAAAAGTGCACGCCTCACAATCTTATTTTCCATAAAAAAATTGATTAAAATAAAATACAAAAAATACTTTTAAATCTTTCGCGCCATTGTCCACCCAGGAAAGAAAATGAACAATAATTCATTTTTAATTTATTCTCTCTCGGCATTGTCATTTAAATGTTTTTATACATTTATTTGATATATTTTCATGTAATTTAATCTTACTGTATACTATTTAATGAAAAATTTTTGTAGAAAACTTAAATTAAATATAAATAAAATAATTTTTATTTTATAACTAAATATTTCAAACTTAACGTTCTTCTAGCGAGATAATTTAGCGATCATGCGCCATCTGTTGATGATTTTATGTATTAAATTCCGTAAAAAATTATATATTGACATATTTGTTCATATACGGACACATATTAGAACAAGTTTGGAAAATTCAAAAGTACACGCCTCATAATCCCATTTTCCATGATAAAATTAATTAAAATAAAATACAAAAAATACTTTTAAATCTTTCGCGCCATTGTCCACCCAGAAAAGAAAAGGTACTAAGCATGTATTGTAAACGAACCTCATTTACATAGATATAGATATACAAACTATTAGTGGATTTTTAGTTTATTGCTAATTATAAATAAACTACAGTGAATTAGACCGTGATCTTCGAAAGGACTTAGTCGTAAATCATACTAAAGCGTATAAAAAATAAATGGACTTGATCAGTTAAGTTTTTCGGCAGTTATCGTGACCACGCCAGTTTCCATACATACATTTAACAGCCGGACGTCCACGGAATAATTTTTTTAAACATTTTTAAAAAGCAAAATGTCTTTTAAAAATGTCATAAGTGTTGAAAATAGTGTTTTTCCATGAAATTTATGTGTAAATATTGTTCTACAAGTGCGATAGAGAATAAATAGAGACAATTTTAGTTCAAGAAATCGCTTGATTTTTGTAAGGAGAGTGCAGAGCACAACCTCATCCGCTTCACTTATGAGGCGTGCAAAATGATCATTTTTTTATCGAATTTTTTGAAGTCAGATTAAAATTTTTATTGTATATTAATCAATTAAAATAGTTTTTTTATTAAGAATAAAAAATCATCAGAACCAATTGAGGTTAAATTTTGAAAAAAATTATATTTAACTCTCTCCGATGACGCGCGAACTTTATCTTAATTATTCACAAGCATATATTTTCACTTAGATTTTTTCTAGGTCTTGCACATATTTATAATAGAATTTTTTCACCTGCAATCAAAAAGATCTGATAAAATTCTTTACTATTTTTAAAATAATTAATATATATATGTTTGAAAATAAGCACAATAATTCGATCTAATAAGTAAAAAAAATATACTAAAGTAAATAAATAATAATTTAATACATGATAGACATTTGAGAGTTTAATGATTTCATTTAAAATCTTGACGTATCCTATATACTGTAATATATTATCCGTCATATATTTAATATACTGATTTATAATACGTATAATTGTACTGACATCTAAACAAGACCGCTAATTTTCTCTGTCACTACTCAGAAAGATTTTCTGACACCTGAAGTGAGTATATCATTTAGACGAGAATTATTTTCTCCTTACATAATTTTTATTCTACTTAATTGATATATTTAACGGCGTTAATATAAATAACAGATAGATATTTTTCCCATCAGCATCAGTAATAACCGTTAATGTAAATATTATGTGTAGAGAAAAAGACAAAAATAATGAAAGGTATATATGTCTCGAGTTGCTGCAGAAGATAGATATGAGAGTGAATAAAACTAAATCTAATTTGCATGAAGCTCAAGACTTTTAAATCCATTTTACCAGGTGCAGAATACACTGTCTCACGTATATTTATTTTAACAATCCCACCGGAGACATTACTCGGTCTTCCCATGGACAATACAAGTAAGTCCGAGCGGACCCCCAGCAAAGATAACTTGTTTTTTTTTATTCTTCACCTTTTACCAACCTGATCATCGTTGTTCTTCCCTTCTTATAGAGATTCGTAAGGTGCCAAAACAGTTGTAAATACATATTTAATTTATTGAAATAAAACATTGTTGTTTATTTAAAATTATTCTTGCAAAAAAAGGGGAGAGGGATTAATTGAAGATTTGAAAAAATAAAGTGCACTATGTGACTGCCGTGACTTGTGGACAATAAATAAATAAAATTTTGTTTTATTAAATAATGAATTTTGTTAAATTGCACCGTACTTTTTTAACTATTGACGTTTTTTAAGATATAAGCTCATCTCGATGTTACACTCATCAAGAGCTTTCATTTGAGTGCCCACATGCATTTTCATATATTTTTCATATATACATATATATCATATATATGAATATATAAAAAATTGATGTGGGTAATCAAATGAAAGGTCTTGATCAGTGTATTGTTGGGGTGAGCTTATATCTTTAAGAATGTTAATAGTTCTCAAGATACAAGGTCGTTTCTTAATTATGTTAAATTGCACTGTATATACTTTCTTAACAATTGCCATTTTTAAAGATATAAGCTCATCCCGATGTTACACTCTTTAAGAGCTTTCATTTAAGTACCCACATGCATTTTCATATATTTTTCATATATACATATATATAAATATATGAAAAATTGATGTAGGTACTCAAATGAAAGGTCTTGATGAGTGTAACATCAGGATGAGCTTGAGCTTATATCTTAAAAAATGTCAATAATTCTCAAGATACAAGGTCGTTTCGTAATTATATTAAATTGCACTGTACTTTCTTAACAATTAACATTTTAGAAGATATAAGCTCATCTTTATATATTTTTCATATATACATATGTATAACATATATAAAATATGTGAAAAATTGATATGGGTACTCAAATGAAAGGTCTCGATGAGTATAACAGCGAAATGAGCTTATATCTTTAAAAATGTCAATAGTTCACGAGATACAAGGTCATTTCTTAATTATCTAGAATTAAAAACCCATTTTATCATATAAATACACTAGCCACAAAATTTTGCTTATTCTCTCAATAATATAAATTAATTATTAAAGTATGATATTTTTTGAAAAAAAATCTACGTAAATTGAGCCCAAATCTACACGTATGATATTTTTATTGGGTTGCTTAATCATAATAACACTCAAAAGTACCTAAACTGTATATTATAATAAAAAAATTAGTTTTAAATAATTATTTAATTAAAAAAAAAAATAGCTGAGCTAACAAATCCTTGTCAGTACAATAATTTTCCTCCTTTACTCTCAGTAAGTGAATGTCTACTAAAAAGACAAATGATTCAATTAAGATAAAAGATATCTCTAAGCCAGTAAATAATCTCCGATGAAAATCAAATCTTATTAATAAAATATCTTTACAAATAATATTATCAGCGTAAAATATTTTTTAAAAAGTTTCTTGCACTAGCTGGATGTCTCTGAAGAGAGCACGAACAAATATAAAAGCATGTAAAAAAAAAACTAGGTAATTGGTTGTTTAATCTAGATGATATGATGCAGGTAGTGTCGCGTTGTCTTCCCACGGTAGAGAGCATATGAGCCGACATTAACAGGATATATAAAGGCGCGGACTCTAAAGATCATCAACACTAATATAAAATATATATAAATGTAAGATATAGAATGTATGACTGCATCAGGACCGGTCAGGAGCACAAGTATTATATATAAGTGTGGATAGAAGTAGAAATAGACGGAGTTGTGTTAGTAGGTAGTAGCTAGTAGCTAGTAGCTAGCAGATGACAATCGCACACACTTGGTGCTCGTGTGAGACGCACGCTCTCTAATACATATCATCACCTGCGGCAATAACCACGCAAGGTCTCACTGGGTCAGGTTTTAGTTGTTTAAGATATATCTCAGCTATGCTGATGATTATGCTCCTAGCTGAGACTCCGGAGATATTTCTATAGAGGGCCGGAAGCCTTCCACCTCTAAGGTCGAAAGGTAATTCAAGGCGAAAGATGAGTCTGTGCAAACAAGTTCACCAAAGGTTATACGGCGACTCTTCTGCTCACCTTTTAGAATTTTTTACTAGTCTGGATGTTAGATAAATTTATTTTGAAAGATTACCGTCGCGTTAAAATAATAATAATAATAATAATAATAATAATAATAAAATTTGATCTGCTATATAATAAAAAAAAAATATAATTGCTACATTTTCTACATTGTTGTGAAACTTACTTCCTAGTTGTTGGAATAATTTATGAAGATAATTTATAAAAGCGTTTTATGAACTCCAATTAAGTAGTATAATTTATGAATATTATACTAGAAGAATTTAACTATAAATTATGTTAAATAATACTTGTTTTAATTGTATTCATTTATATGAAGTTAAAAAAGTTTGGAAAATTCAAAAGTGCACGCCTCATATTCTCATTTTCCATAATAAAATTGATTAAAATAAAATACAAATACTTTTAAATCTTTCGCGCCATTGTCCACCCAGAAAAGAAAGGTACTGCGCATGTATTGTAAATGAACCTTATT